GTTACTCTTATAAGGTTCATATCTTCTTCTCTCAAGAACAACGGTTCGAACCGATTTCATGATAAAATGTTCAAAAATATATATATATATATGTAAATAATTTTAATTTGTTAAAAAAAAAAACAAACAGTGAGATTTGTCACATGAACTAACAGCTAAGCGCTTGGCACCGAAAATTGCCTCAATGATTGTCTTATAAATGGATCATCTTCACATCGGTGTTTGATATGTCATCGTTAAATCCAAATTCCATGGTAGTATAACCGTTATAAAATAAAAAAAATATATAAAGATAAATTAGTAAGACAATAAGACAAGAAGAATAGATAAAAGTGTGAGAAATAAGGAATGCCTTGGAAATATATTTCTATCCTCTTTTCTCTCTTTCTTTTCTTTTTTTTTTTTTTAATAAATTGTAATTATTTACAAGTATTAATTGAGATATGAGAAAAAGGATTTTGTGGGATTAAAATACATAACCCATAAGAGGTGAACAATTTTAACCCAAGGTCCATATCATTGGATTAGAGCGAGCTATTTCTTTTTTTTCATTTAAAGTAAGGGTGAGTATTAAGTATGGATAAATTTTTTTTTTTAAAGTATTTTACTTATTTGGGAAAGTATTATTTAAGAAATGTTAAGAAAGGAGTAAGTAATGAATATAAAAATAGTATACTTGTAAATATAAAATCAAATAACAAATATTAGGATTTAAAAATGTTTACTCAATTTGTTTAATGGACTTGTTTAATTGACTATAACCTATACTTATATAATTAAAATTTTACATATACTTATTATATTTAATATTTATATAATAAAAATAAATTTTAAAAATAAAAATAATAAAATACAAAAAATAAAAATAAAAATTAAGCAAAGTCTAATAACTTATATAAATAATAAACTTTACACCAAACACATAATATACGCAACAATATCATCACATATTAGACATTTTCTTTTTTAAAGTTAAATTCATAAATATATACTTGCAAATTACCCAATATCTGTTGAGTTAAATGCTAAGTATAGATTTTTAAGTATTTAGGTTGGTACCAAATTTAAAAAATTGTATTTAAAAATTTTCAAATCAAGTATTAACTATAATTCATACTTAATCTATATTCGAAAATGCTCTACCCTAATACAGAGTTACAAGCCATATTTATATTGATCATTCAAGTTGTATGGAACTATAAATAATACCTAAGTAGAGTTATGAATAAAGTTAAGTGAATATAAATTACAAATGAAAGAAAATGGAGATGAATACGAGGGCACGGGTACAACCTCTATAGAAAAATTCATAATAATATTATGAAATTCCAAAGGGATTTTGAGCAATTAGAGGGTTTTGTTGCAAGCTGGAGCTAGTAATAGGCCCCAGGGCCTGGGAGGTTGGGTAAAACTTTTACTACTAAATTTTGTTGGCCCAACGAAGGGCCAATATCTAAACTAGGCGCGTTCACTCTTGATCAGCAGCAAGAAATAGGCTCAAGAATCGGCCGATATTGGAACTTTGAAAATGAGGGATTAACAATAGTGTAACCCCCATCTATCAAAAGGTTGTGCCCACTGACGTACCTTGCCTCATCACTCGCCAAACAAAGGGCAGCATATGCGATATCTTCTGCCTTAAGGGTCAGACCCTTAATTAAGATTGGCAATCGAATCCAACATCTTCTTGAGGTCCTCCATATTAAATCTATGACAGTGATAAACAATAGTGTTAATGAATTTAAAATGATAATTCAACAATTAAAAGTTTAAAATTTAAAATTTAAAATTTTACATTCGAAAATTGAACTAAATGAAAAAAGATTTGAGAATAAAACAGAATTATTTTTTCTTATATAAATTATAATTAGATGTATTGAAAAAAAAAATAAAAAACAATGTCGTTGCGACCCTATAGGGAGATAAGCAGTTAACTCTAATCCCAAATTGCCTGAGCTCAACTGCAGCATTTTTTGTCAGTCCCACAACAGCATGCTTTGAAGCAGTATAAGCATAGGCGCCTGTTTTACCTATAGTTGAACTTACGCCGGCAGTGGAGATTATGCAGCCGCTTCGAGCAGGAACCATGATCCGAGCTGCGTGTTTGATTACAAGGAAGATCCCGGTCACGTTCACACTAAGGACACGCTCAAAGTCGGATTTTTCCTTATCAATTATGCGTGGCTTCATCTCGCCAAAACGCCAGCGTTATTGAACATGATGTCTAGTTTGCCATAGATGGCAACAGCTTTGTCCACAGCGTGTTGGATTTGCGATTCATTGGTGACGTCGCAGTGGAGGAAAATGGAGTTTGATGGGCCGACTGACTCACAGACTGTGTGGCCTAATTGTCCTTGGATGTCAGCTACAACTACTCTGGCTCCATGGTGGGCAAAGATTCTGGCAGTGCATGCGCCAACACGGCTGGCTCCTCCTGTAATTAGGGCAGCCTTCCCCTCTAGCGTGCACAAAATTGACAATTATATCAAACAATATACTGTCAGTAAAGCTCTCATCCTTAACTATATCCATCCAAAATAAACAAGAAAATACACCTTTTTACGACAGCAGAGATAAACGAAGCCATTGCTATGATCACAACTGTGAATTTTAGAAAGAAAATTTAGTGGAATATTGCTATTAATTCAACTTATCATATGCAACTCGATCTATGTATACAGCATACAGGGAAACAATTTTGGTATGAGAACACTTGGTGAAAGGCTATTGGTTTCGGTGCATTAGAGCAGTGGAGAATTCGTTCTTGTGGCAGGGAATTGTAGCTTGCTTGCTGTTTGCCTTGGGTGCATTTATGAGCATGCCGTTGCTATGATCCCAACTCTGAATTTTAGGACCTGCTTAGGTCCAGTATTACCTACTTTAACCGAACTGGGCTTAAAACCTTCAACAGTTTTATTTATTTATTTATTTTTTAGGTTAAACCCCCTTTTTGGTCCCTCAACTATTATACGGACCCCCGATTAAGTCCCTCAAC